TTTACGAGGATAGTGAGGCTCAAGTTAGAGTGTGTAGGAAAGAGGGAAATTATTTCCCAGTAAAAGTAGGCCTTAGACAAGGATGTGTGATGTCACCGAGGTTGTTTAATATATTTATAGATGGGGTTGTGAGAGAAGGAAATGCAAGGGTCTTGACAAGAGGCGTGGAGTTAAAAGATAAAGAATCACACAAAGTGGGAGTTGTCACAGCTGCTCTTTGCTGATGACACTGTGCTTTTGGGAGATTCTGAAGAGAAGTTGCAGAGATTGGTGGATGAATTTGGTAGGGTGTGCAAAAGAAGAAAATTAAAAGTGAATACAGGAAAGAGTAAGGTTATGAGGATAACAAAAGGATTAGGTGATGAAAGACTGGATATCAGATTGGAGGGAGAGAGTATGGAGGAGGTGAATGTATTCAAATATTTTGGAGTGGACGTGTCATCGGATGGGTCTATGAAGGATGAGGTGAATCATAGAATTGATGAGGGGAAAAGGGTGAGTGGTGCACTTAGGAGTCTGTGAGACAAAGAACTTTGTCCTTGGAGGCAAAGAGGGGAAATGTATGAGAGTATAGTTTTACCAACGCTTTTATATGGGTGTGAAGCATGGGTGATGAATGTTGCAGCGAGGAGAAGGCTGGAGGCAGTGGAGATGTCATGTCTGAGGGCAATGTGTGGTGTGAATATAATGCAGAGAATTCGTAGTTTGGAAGTTAGAAGGAGGTGCGGGATTACCAAAACTGCTGTCCAGAGGGCTGAGGAAGGGTTGTTGAGGTGGTTCGGACATGTAGAGAGAATGGAGCGAGACAGAATGACTTCAAGAGTGTATCAGTCTGTAGTGGAAGGAAGGCGGGGTAGGGGTCGGCCTAGGAAAGGTTGTAGGGAGGGGGTAAAGGAGGTTTTGTGTGTGAGGGGCTTGGACTTCCAGCAGGTGTGCGTGAGCGTGTTTGATAGGAGTGAATGGAGACAAATGGTTTTTAATACATGTACTTGACGTGCTGTTGGAGTGTGAGCAAAGTAACATTTATGATGGGGTTCAGGGAAACCGGCAGGCCGGACTTGAGTCCTGGAGATGGGAAGTACAGTGCCTGCACTCTGAAGGAGGGGTGTTAATGTTGCAGTTTAAAAACTGTAGTGTAAAGCACCCTTCTGGCAAGACAGTGATGGAGTGAATGATAGTGAAAGTTTTTCTTTTTCGGCCACCCTGCCTTGGTGGGAATCAGCCAGTGTGATAATAAAATAATAAAATAAAATAAATTTAGGATCATTTTTGTTTGACCTGATTTCCCAATTCGGAACATAAGTTGTCTTAGCTGCTAGAACTATGCTCTGGAAAATGTCCTATTGGCAACCATCACCACCTAACTGACCCGTAGTCAGATCATTTCAGTTTAGCCCACCCAGGTAATTTTGCAGTCCTATGATATCCTCCAAGCGGAAGTCGAAGATTGAGACACTTATGCACCATTTGGGAATCTTTATTAAGGAAACGTTTCGTCACACAGTGGGTTCATCAGTCCAATACAAAGAATAAATGGGTAAGGTGATGAGGAGTTTGAGGTAATCAGTCCCTCAGCCTGGAATCAATGTGTTCAGTCCATCACTCTTGTAGAAAGTGCAGCATATGGCCGGAGAAGTGGCTTATATACTGTAAACAGGTGAGTTGAAGCAGGAGGAGGCAGGATCATAGTGGAACCTTCCACTAGTCTAAGTAGGTCTTCATCCAAAGGTTGGACAAGTATCGAAGAATCTTGATACAAAAAATTCTTTGATACTTGTCCAACCTTTGGATGAAGACCTACTTAGGCTAGTGGAAGGTTCCACTATGATCCCACCTCCTCCTGCTTCGACTCACCTGACTACAGTATACAAGCCACTTCTCCGGCCATATGCTGCACTTTCTACAAGAGTGATGGACTGAACACATCGATTCCAGGCTGAGGGAGTGATTACCTCAAACTCCTCATCTCCTTACCCATTTCTACTTTGTATTGGACAGATCAAGCCACTGCGTGGCAAAACGTGTCCTTAACCCTTTCAGGGTCGGCAGGCCCTCTCCTAAACTTGTTCTCAGGGTCGGAAATGTTTCAAAAAAAGAAAAAAAAAAATTTTTCTTATGAAATGATAGAGAATCTTTTCCTGATCATAATGACACCAAAAGTATGAAATTTGATGGAAAACTTACAGAATTATGCTCTCACGAAGTTAGCGGTCTAGACAATGTTTTCGCATTGACGATTTTGCCCACTTTGAGCCCTATTATCGGTCAATTCCAATGTACTAGTCGACAAAAATCATACCTATTTTGCTAGAACTCCATTTTGTCTATCGAATGAGTACAAGAAACCACCCATTTACTGATTTCAACTAACCAATAACATGGTCAGAAATTGGCAATTTTGCCAATTTCACACAAATTTCAAAAGATACCAATTTCCAAATAGGGTCCAGAATAAACAAGACACATTCCTGGCACTAAAGTAACACTTTCTCTGTTGACTACTCATGTCCCCAGGCCTCTGCTACGTTTCTTTTGCTTACCACTTTGAATTTTTATTCTCACAAAGAAGATTTATGTTATGCAGACTACTACATTTATGTAGAAATAGTGTATAAATGGTATAAAAAATATCAGCCCACTTGTGAAAGAATATTAGACTCATCAGTTGTCTCGTATTGGACACGTGGCATGATTTGTTTACCTTTGAACTTTGGAAAAAATCAAACCTTTCTGCTACTTTGAGCTCAATTTCAAGGTACTTGTCATTGTGAAACCAATGAAAATCATCTCAATTTCCATAATATGTCGTCCATTCTATAAAATGAGATCAGGAAAACTAGAATACAATGATAAATAGCATACAAAAATACACTGCAAAGTCACTGTTTTAAACCAAAAACACGGTCGGAGGTTTTTTTTTCTCCTTGTGCACTGTGCGTTGCAGGATTTTTTTTATATTGCGCACACTGACCACATAGACCCATTCTTTCATATGTAGGCCTACCAGCTTTCTCTCGCTAGATTTGAAGGTGGTAGAATTTATGCATACTAGTACGGCACCAACCCTGGCGTGCAAACCGTACTAGTATGGCACAACCCTGAAAGGGTTAATAAAGATTCCCATATGTTGCATAAGTGTCTCAATCTTCAACTTCTCAGTTTTCAAAACCAGCCATCACAAGCGGAAGTCAGGGACAGACTCGATAGTCATTATTAGGGTAATTCCACGATATATTAAAACTGAGTGATTTGTGATTTTCCCCAAGTTCATCATTAACCTCAATATTATTTATTAGTGATTCCCTGCTGGCAGGGACAAAGTCAAGCAGGTTATTTCCTCTAGTTAGTTCTGTCACAAACTGTTTTAAAAACAATTCTGAATCGTATCAATTAAGTTGCTTGACTCTATATTTCCGGTCAAACTGTTCCAGTCAATTTGTCCAAAATTAAAATCTCCCATTAGTACAACATTGGCTTAAGCTGGTAGGAGACTCGGACCTGCCTCATATGGGCCAATAGGCCTGCTGCAGTGTTCCTTCTTTCTCATGTATCAACAAAGTCAATTTCCTGTCATGTTGCTCCAATCAGTCATTTTTTTTATTTAAATTAAGCTACAACTACAGCCTCTCCTTACTTAATGATGGAGTTCTGTTCCTAAGACCATGTCAGTAAGTGAATTCATCGCTAAGTGAGGAGCATACTATATTGGTAGTGGGTTTGTGTCGACCATCTTTGGTATTGTTTTAATGTCACCTCTGCACTATAACATTTTTAGTATATTTTTAAATGTTTATACAGTAGTGTACTGTTTTCTTAATAAACAGAATAGAGGAAATTATCTCTATTATACACTGTTTTGGTATGCATACTGGTCAGAGAGCCCATCTTAAGTCCAAGTCGTCAGTAAACGAGTACATCGCGAAGTGAGGAGAGGCTGCATTCATTAAATAAGATACTATACTTGTCACTAGAGAAATATAAATATTTTATCTGTCATTGTATTAGCACTGTACCTAGGAAAGTATAGTAGTGAAAAAAAAAGTGAATTATGTAGCCAGGATATTAAAATGGTGAGAAATTTATAAAGTATATGTACTGCCCAGGAACAAACTTCAAAATAAGAAGGTAGTAGTGGCAGTAAAAAAAACAAATAGGGAGAGAGGCTGGAGACTTAGTGAAGAGATAATGGTAGTAGAAGTAATAGTGCAAGTAATCTGAGAACAAGAGAAAAGAGAAGCATTCCTATGTGTGGGTTATTTGTGTATCGTTCCAGTCATGATACTGTGTGTTTTCTTCATTATCTTCAATTATAATATGGATGCCATAGGGAAAACAGGTTCCAAATTCTGAATGCTTAAACAATTTTGAGGAATGCAGCAACCTGCTAAAGGTAAGCTACTGTAATGGACATTAATAGTCATTTGACATATTTATTAAATCTACAATTACTCCAACTTCTGCTTCAAGCTTTATGTTAACCTTCAACAACAACTAAGCCATGTAATTTTCTGGGGAAGGTAACAAATTTTTCAAACTTAAGAGATAAGATTTTCTTCAGATTTTTAACCCCGGAGGGTTAGCCACCCAGGATAACCCAAGAAAGTCAGTGCATCATTGAGGACTGTCTAACTTATTTCCATTGTGGTCCTCAATCTTGTCCCCCAGGATGTGACCCACACCAGTCAACTAACACCCAGGTACCTATCTGCTGCTAGGTGAACATGACAACAGGTGTAAGGAAACACGTCAAAATGTTTCCACCCCACCAGGAATTGAACCCGGGCCCTCCCTGTGTGAAGTGAGAGCTTTAGCCACCAGGCTAAAAAAAAAAAAAAAAAAAAAAAAAAAAAAGAGTAGGTCACTATAAAATTCAAGAGTTTTTTTTAAAGCTAAAAGAAATACTGACTGTAGAAATGAATTCTTAAGGACAAATAAATGCAAGGAAAATAAAAACATGAAAACCTTACTGTTAAAAGATCAAGAAAATTAAAATTAATTACCTTGTAACTACCTATGGACAAGAGGATTGAACGCTCTGGAATGACAAATCCCGTTGATATCATAGACTTTAGATATGCTTCATAACGATTCTCTCCAAAACATGCCACTTCCCCTGTCGATGCCATCTCCACTCCCAACATAACATCAGCACCTGCACACAAAAAACAGTGCATCATAATCAGAAAATCTTTTAGTACATATTGTTAATCAAACAGTCTATCCACAGGTTGCTCAGTGTGTAGGGAAAAGTTTGTATTTAATGTAGAAGCTCCTCAGTATAGTGCACTTTTTAGTAAATATGACTGATTCAAGTGTGTAAAAAATTGAATATTATGTACAGTTAACTCTCAGTTTAGACACTGTATTTACATTCTTGAAAATGGCATAAAATAATAAAAACTGTCTTAAACAAACTGAAGAACATATAGAAAAAACAGCATTATGTTCATTGTCCCCCCCAAAATGACAATCAATTTAGTTTTTTGTCTCAAAAATCATAAAAATAAAATGTAATTGTAGTTGACTGTTGTGATGTATTATGTTAAATACATTGTTTAAGGCTACAGATGTTACATGAATAACATTTCTTACCTTAACCCTTTCATTGTCGAGACCTGCACACAAACTTGCTCTCAGTGTTGAAGAGCTTTATAAAAAAAAAAAAAAAAACTTATGATAGAGAATCTTTTCCTGAGGGTAATGACGCCAAAAGTATGAAATTTAATGGAAAACTTACAGAATTACCATCTTGCAAATTTAGCAGTCTCGGTGATATTTAACCCTTTGACTGTCGCAAGCCCCTTTCTGAAACTGTCATTCTATGTTGATAAATTTTTGGAAAAAAAAAAAAAAAAAAAAAAAATCTTATGAAATGATAGAGAATCTTTTCCCGATGGTAATGACACCAAAAGTATGAAATTTGTTCGAAAACTCTTGGAATTACGTTCCCGCGAAGTTAGTGGTCTCGGCTACATATATGCATCGGTGATTTTGCCGACTTTGAGCCCTGCTTTTGGCCAATTCAGTTATTCCAATTGACCAAATTCATAGCTATTTCTTTAGAACTCCATTTTTTCCATCAGTTGAGTACAAGAAACCACCCATTTGCCAATTTGAACTACCCAATAAAGTGGTCAGATATTGGCAATTTGGCCAATTTCACGCAAATTAAAAAAGATGCCAATTTCAAATTAGGATCCAAAATAAACAATGTAGACATTCTTGGCACTACAATAACATATCCTCTGTTCATTAGTCATGTCTCTAGTCCCCTCTTATATTACAAATGCTTTATATTTTGATTTTTTATTCATACAAAAAATACAAAATTTACTGTTATGCAGACTACTGCATTATTGTAAAACTGGTATAAATAATATCAGTGCACTAGTGAAAGAACATCAGACTCCCCAGTTGACGTGTACTGGACGTGTGGTGCGATTTGCTTACTCCAAAACATTGGTAAAAATCAAACATTTCCGCCACTTTGAGCTCAATTTCAAGGTCGTTTTCACCGTGAAACTAATCAAAATCATCTCTATTTCTGTAATATGTTTTCCATTTTATCACGTGAGACCATGAAAACGAGAATGCAACAATAAATACTATATGAAAATACACCTCAAACTCAGCATTTTAATCCAAAAAAAAATTTTTTTTTTCTCATTATGCACTGCGTGCTCCGGGATTTTTTTTATGTGGTGCACACTGACCATACAGACCCATTCTCTCACATGTGGGCTTACCAGCTTTCTCCTGCTTGATTTGAAGCCGCTAGAATTTATGCGTATAAATACGTCCGAAACAGTGGCGCATAAGAAGTTTATATACGACCAAAACAGTCAAAGGGTTAAGAATCGACGATTTCACCCATTCTGGGCACTATTTTCGGCCAATTCCATTGGTCCATTCGACCAAACTATTAGCTATTTCACTAGAACTCCACTGGCTATATCAACTGAGTACAAGAAACTGCCCATTTACTGATTTCAACTACCCAATAATGCGATCAGAAATTGGAAAAATTTGCCAATTTCATAAACAAATTAAGTAAGGCAAATTTAAAAATAGGGTCTAGACTTAACAATACAAACATTCCTAGCACTAAAATAACATTTTCTCTGTTCATTAGTCACGTCTCCAGGCCCCTCTTGTATTACACTTGCTTTCCATTCTGGCTCTAATGTTGATAACTATAGAGAAGTAGTGAAAAATTCTGTAACACATCTCTGGTGTCTTTTACCCTGTAGTACTTTATACAGCAGACAGTAAGGGATCATCAGCTATTTTAGACTATATCAGAGCAGTACTTCTAGATTTGTCAGGGTCCTCTTCAGTGATCAAGTCTGCTAGCTTAGCAACATGGAACTGCTCGTGCAACTATTGCAATATTAACTTGTTTTCCTCACTTTCCCCTGTTATCTAACTCCCTTGTGTCTTGCCACTGAGGGCTGCCAACATTTCCTCCAGACTTCTGTCTTTGCCATTATCTTCTAGAAGCTCTTTCACATTAAATTCCTGCATATCTTCACAGCCATCTTCTGGCAATCTTTTTGCCAGCTGAACAATTTCCTGTACCTGACTCTCGAGTGAGGGGAAAACCTATTCAAGTTATTTGCCACACTAGGCCATAACTTTCTCCAGCATGCATTTAATGTTTATAGGGGCACTTCATTCCATGTACTTCTAACATAGCTGATGACATCTGTAATGCTAAATTTATGCCAAAAGCTTGGCACTCCCAAGCTTGGAATCAGCATCCATAGCTGCAACAAGTTTCCATATCACTTTTCTTGACCTAATAATTCTATGATTCAGTGATTGTATTAAAGATGTTGTAATAGGGAGTAAAAACTCAGGTTTTACAAATGTATGCTCATCCAACACAGTTTCGGGATGAATACAGGAATTATCAAGAGTGAAGAGAACCTTGAATGCAAGGTTCTTGCTGTGCAGGAAAATTGACTTCAGGAATAATACAGTAACAATAGTAATAATATCTTCATTTACTACAAGTACGTGGTATACAGGCCTAACTGACATCAACGACACACTACTATGTAGAAAGCCCCTTGCTATGCAGAGCATTTTGGGCAAATTAGGTCAGTTTTGTCCCAGGATGCAACCCACACCAGTCGGCTAACTCTCGGGTACCCATTTTACTGATGGGTGAACAGGGACAGCAGATGTCTTATGGAAACACGTCCCCAATGTTTTCCAGCCGTACCAGAGGAGAACCAAACTCTGGACTTCAGTGTGTGAGCTGAGTGCGCTAGCGATCGAGCTACAGGGCACCCCTAATAATAAAGTGATGCTTAAACCAGTCAATAAATAATTCCTCTGTCATCCACGTTGAATGGCTTGACCTCCACAGAACTGGTAAGGTGATTTTATCTACACCTTTCAAAGCATTGCTGAGTCTTGGAGTAGTAAATAATCATGGGCTTACACTTACAATACCTTTGATACCTTTACCTTTGAAGAGTTTCAAGAGATTAACTACTCTCAGAGCCTGACCTTGGGCCAGGCTTGTCTGGTGCTTGCCTAATCAACTAAGATGTTGCTGCTGGAGACCCGCTGCCCCACATATCCATCACAGCCCGGTTGATATGGCACCTGGTGAAGGTACTTTTCCAGCTTCCGTTCCAGCCTGATGCATTACCACAAAGGAGCAGGCTGAAGTGATTCTTTGCTGCCTTGAATCCCACTGCACTTTTCTCTTGCTGACTGATGTAAGTTCTTGTCGGAAATTTCTTCCAATAAAGACTTGTCTCGTCAGCATAAACCCTTTCACTGTTGAGACCACTGCTCACAAACGCTCTCAATTTACCTAGAGTTTACCTGGAGAGAGTTCCAGGGGTCAACGCCCCCGTGGCCGAGTCTGTGACTAGGCCTCATGGTGTATCAGAGCCTGATCAATCAGGCTGTTACTGCTGGCTGCACGCAATCCAACGTACGAGCCACAGCCCGGCTGGTCAGGTACTGACTTTAGGTGCTTGTCCAGTGCCAGCTTGAAGACAGCCAGGGGTCTATTGGTAATCCTCCTTATATATGCTGGGAGGCAGTTGAACAGTCTTGGGCCCCTGACACTTATTGTGTTGTCTCTTAATGTGCTAGCGACACCCCTGCTTTTCATTGGGGGGATGTTGCATCGTCTGCCGAGTCTTTTGCTTTCGTAGGGAGTCGTTTTCGTGCGCAGGTTCAGTACTAGTCCCTCTAGGATTTTCCAGGTGTATATAATCATGTATCTCTCCCAACTGTGTTCCAGGGAGTACAGGTTCAGGAACTTCAAGCACTCCCAGTAATTGAGGTGTTTTATCTCCATTATGTGTGCCGTGAAGGTTTTCTGTACATTTTCTAGGTCAGTGTTGAATTAAAAAAAAAAAAGTTTTTTTCTTATGAAATGAGAGAGAATTTTTTCCCAATGGTAATGAAACCAAGAGTACAAAAATTGTTGGAAAACTTATGGAATTACGCTTTCACGAAGTTAGCAGTCTCGGCAATATTTGCGCATCAACGATATTGTCCATTTTGAGCCTTATTTTTGGCCAATTACATTGTTCCAGTCGACCAAACTCATAGCTATTTCGCTAGAACTCCTTTTGTTCTTTCGACTGAGTACAATAAACTGCCCATTCACTGATTTTAACAATCCAATAAAGTGACCAGAAATTGGTAATTCAACCAATTTCATATACAATTCAAGGCAGGCCAATTTCAAAAGAAGGTCCAGAATTAACAATACAAAGATTCCTAGCACTAAAATAACATTTTCTCTGTTCATTAGTCATGTCTCCAGGTCCCCTCTTATATTACACTTGCTTTCTATTTTGAATTTTTATTCACACACAAAAAAAAGATTTATTGTTATACAGACTACTGCATCATTGTAAAAATGGAACAAATAATATCAGCTCATTTGTGAAAGCACATTAGACCCACCAGTCGACATGTATTGGACGTGTGACGTGATTTGTTTACCCATGAACATCAGCAAAAATCTAACATTTCCACTACTTTAAGCTGAATTTCAAGGTATGTACAGGAGGGCCCCGCTTTACGGCGTTTCACTTAACGGCATTCTGCTAATACGGTCATTTCAAATTATGACCAAAACTCGTTATACGGCTCCCCCACCTGACTTTCTAATAT